GACGCTAGTTTGTGTCCTCCTGTTACCCTTAGGAGAACTATGGGGAAAAGCCCTAACCCCATAGTTCTCCTTTAAGAAAAACTAAATTTTTTAGTAGACAGCTCTTCATCACATATTTATTAAAGGGCAAATTAGAGTGAAATATTCTGCTAATAGATTAAGTGTATGTTTAATTGGATAGTTCAAATATCATACAAAAATCATACAATAAAATACAGTATAGAAATAAACAAAAAAATGTATTTTCGCCTGAACTGGACAGATGGTGCTATTATACGATTACTATGAAGTAGGGCATTTAAAATTTACATAAAACACATTCATTAATAATAAATGGTCTTGTTGTTTTGATATCATGATTTGTTTTAATACTTTTTTACAAATATACATTTTTACATATAGTATTTTACTACACATACAGAAGAGTACCAACTAGTAAATGACAAGCTCTTGCACAGCAAGAAGTAGGATTAAATATTTGTCTATATACATAATACTGTCATGAAACGTGGAAAGTAAATGTACTTTTAATGTCAAATGCATAGGCTAAACAAAACTGTTATGTGTCTGGGGCAGTTTAAAGAACTCTGCGAAACATTTTATTAACCCTTGCAATGGTGCTACCCTCACACTGCTCATTTGTGCCCAGGTGCTAAGAAAGTTATACTTACCCGGTCATTCAAGCTGGCTTGTTCTTATACCAGTCCCTAGAGCTTCTCTCCCCATCCTCTGCAGTGATCTAAGAATCCTTGTTTCATCATTTTCTATACAAGTATAAAGACATTCCATCTGTGTAGAGGAGGAGGAGACATGCTTCAGTGACCAGAGAAGCAAGTAGTCAGCTTGGCAGTTCAGGTTAGTATAACTTTTGTTTTAGCAGCTAGAAAACATTTTGTAGTTAACCCTTGCAGTGTAGGGGTAGCCCCACTGCAAGGGTTAATGCAAATTTTCCCCCAGAGTTCTTCTTTAAAACCAATTTGTGTATATCTTAAGTTTTTATGGTGTCAGCATTATACCATGAGGTATACTTCTTTTATTTATTTTGTGCTATATTTGGTTTAGATGAATGTGTAAGTAATTTAAATAGTGCTTTAAAGTATTATGTTTTCTAAAGAGAGCCTAAAGGCTAAAGCAATATTGAGCATGCATGCATTAAACTGAACTTCAGGCAGATATAAAGTACACAAATCAATGCATCTCTGTTTTAATTAATATATCATAAAATATACTTAAATGAAAGCTGTGTACATATCATGCTCTTGCAACTGATTGTACAGCAAAGCTCAGAATGGGAGAGAGAGAAACACCACAAGGAGCCAATAAGTTGTGCTGAAGTGCTCATGTGCGATTAAGGGACAAAATCAGGTATTCTTCCTACCAGATGAGTCATTGATGCGTGGCAGAGCTGTTAGGAGGGCATCTCCAATGTATGTATTTTACTGGTTAGTTAGTCATTGGCCTGGAGTTCAGCATTAACTGTTTTTATTGTATTTAATAATAATAATTATGACATAGTATTTTATAATTATTTAAAACTCTAATGCTGGTTGTGCATGTAAAAGTCTATGCACTCTGCTGTAATTTTACAATAATATAACATATTAATCAATATATCTCTTCAAGCACAATAAAACAAGTTTAATTTAAGTTGCCTATATGAATTGCAGACGGACAACAGAAGTTTTTGAAACAATTCACAATTGTGAAGTAATTACATTTGATGAGAAGTAATCTAACCAAATCAATCATTATGAACTGTAATGATTGTGGTATATTACCTTGATCACCTATTACTGTGCAGCTGTAACAATCATAATTATTGCACTTATGCTCTGTATTTATTATCCAATATATGCAATATATCATAGTTAGGTAATTGTGTGAAAATACAAATCACTTAATTGTAAGAATATTGTTTTATTTACTTGCCCCTTTAAATAAAATAAAAACATAAGTAAAAATTTCACACATATTGCATATTAAAAAATATAACACTATTATAACTGCAGCATAATCCAGGAAAATATAGGTAAACAGTTATTTTAGCTGGCATGAATGCAACCCTGATTCTGTTCATGTATGTATCGAATATCAATGAGCTGACATTATGAGAGGTTTCCTCAGTTAACTGAAACATTTTACAGTGACCACATGTGTTTCAGTGTGAGCGTTCTACAATATGGTCGTTAGTATTCTGACCATACCTACAAAAATCAGATTGTGGGCATTTCGCAAGAATGTGTGGTATTTTTTTAATTCATTCCTTTCTGGCATGCCGGAAAAAAAAAAAAATCTGTTGGAAAGGAATACATAAAAACAGAAGAGAAAATGTGTGGTACATTACACCTCTCCCCTATATATGTTAAAAAATTAAATCAAAACGTTTTAGGGGAAAGTGGTGTATGTGAGACCTTCCAACATATGTTCAAGAGTTGGTAAAGTAAAACAGCTGTCATGTATTCAGTCAACAAAAATTGAAATCTAGAATCCAATGGTATAAAAAATATAGCAATATCTTTTTATTAAACAAAACCAAATAAAAACAAGACATATGAGAAGACGTGAATTATGAAGTGTGTCAGAAATATACTGCACCACGATTCACATGGACATCTTCAGAAAAGCAGTACAAACGTCAAAGAGAAAGTGCCATATGTAATAGTCCCTATCACTGGATCTTACCACTGTCAATGGTAATATGATTGCATGCTACAAGTATCTGCACTTTGTACAACCACATTGTTCATTGCTTTTGCAGTGATGGATGGGAACTAATTGACTTCTATGCACAGTACAAATTGTGGCCAACACAGACACTTTCTTTCCTTCAGTTTCTAAATATGTGGCACTGACGTATAAGTGTAGCTAACTTTTATGCACGCATTCTCATTCATACATTACACAAAAAAGCAGAAAAAGAATGGCAGTTATTCTATTGATAACATTTATGGTGTGATACAATCTACACCATACTGAATGTTTCCCCAAATTAACCTGTGCTTGCACTAAAACTGATTAACCAAACAGAACAGCCAATAACAGCATCAATGTTTCACTGCGAATTCTACTTATTTCATTAGTACAAAGAGCAATGGGGATGTTCAGCAGCAGTCAATTATGGCAACCAATAGAGATTATAAACTCCTTTACTTTAATAATGTGAAATCTGACTGGTTACTATGAGTTACTGCTAGTATTTGTAATGCTACAGATTTCCTCCACCACACAGACTCTCTCTACATGCCTAGCTTGTGGTAAACTAGCCCTTGCATTTCAGAATAATGAGGGGCTTAACAGTAATCATGTTCTTTATTACAGTTGAGCGACAGAGAGGATTACTGGATTGAATTCCCTGGCCCATGCAAAATCACTGCCCTAATAAAAAAAACAAAATATACTATAGTGTACTGTATATGATAGCACTTCCTAATAGACTTGTGTGCCGTCAAAACATTTGTTCCGTTTTGTTTCGGAATATCCTTTATTTCGTATTTCGTAATTCGTGTCCGAAACTCAATTCGGATTCGTACGAAATACGAATTTTCGTTAGTTTTCGGCACATTTTCGTAACTTTACGAACATTCGTTATGATGAAGTCAAAAAGCAAAATACCTTTGTTAATATTGGAGTTGATGAGTTTTTTTAATCCGAAATTCGGATCCGAAAAAAAAAAACTACCATCAACTCCAATATATTAACAAAGGTATTTTGCTTTTTAACTTCATCATAACGAATGTTTGTAACGGAACGAAATTCCGTCAACGGAATTTCGTATTTCCTGCCTGTATTGTAATGCAACTCTCAGCAGCAGAAGAGAAAACCTCTGATTGGTCAACCAAACGAAATACGAATTCCGTTAACGGATTTCGGATTAAAAAAAACCTCATCAACTCCAATATTAACAAAGGTATTTTGCTTTTTAACTTCATCATAACGAATGTTCGTAACGGAACGAAATTCCGTCAACTAAATTTCATATTTCCTGCATGTATGTATTGTAATGCAACTCTCAGCAGCACAAGATTCGTATTTCGTATTTAAAAAAAATCTTGTCATGTTGTTCAACCTCATTTACAGGGGTAATATTGGTTCCCGTTTCAAAGAAATTCGGATCCGAAATTCATTAACGGAATTTCGTATTTCGGATATAATTCGCAAACTGCAATTCGGATTTCGGATGCTTCTGAAATTACAAATTTCAGGAAAATGTGTACGAATTTCGATTCGTAACGAAACGAATCGCACATGTCTACTTCCTAATTAGGGCACTAATGTCTCATGAAGTGAATTCCGCTCATTCATTTCCTACACCCTCTTGCATACTGCAATAGGTTGGTAGTGAGGTGTTGGGAACTTGTATTCCATCATGAAGCACAGGCATCCCAATAACAGTGCCTGAAAACAAATGTGTAAAGGGTCTTAAGTACCTTTTGCCAGGTTACTACCAAATGGAATTATTTTTTTGCCCAAAGATGGCCCAGTCCAGTTGTAATTCTATTTTATGAGATCTGATCCACTCAATCGATCTCTAATTGCTTTAGTTTGCACATAATTTCTACTGTGTGTACAGCTTAACTAATATAAGCATGTGCAGTAAAGAAAGGAGAAATCCAGTTGTGATTCAACAGTATTATTATTGGGGGGGCATATATTAGCTGTCTTTGTTTGGAGGCTCCCATTAAAAAGTGGCAAATATGATTTCAATTTATGTAAACAGGCAAAACTTAGAAGTATCCATGTGCAATTTTCACAATTGGTATATGCTGCATAGTTTTGAATATGAACGTAGACAACCATGTTAAATCAATATTCTGTTATTATTTTGTCAATATGTTTAAAATAATTGATACAATGTGATATAAAAATATTGCCAACCTAACCTTTACTTTTAGTCTTATTATTAAGGGCACTAGTTCAAGAAAATTAAACACAGGAATGGCACCTATTAAATAAAATGAACCTTTAGAGCAGCAAAGGTCTATGTAAATACATTTTCTCCCTATTGTCCATAAAAAAGGTTGTTCAAGTATACTCAGGAATTACATCACCACATTTTCTACATATCACAGTTCATCCAACATCAACTCAACAACAAGAGATTGTGACAATAAATTAATTAAAAAAACAAACAAAAAAACTAAATACATTTGCAAACCCTATCAAGTATAGGCAAAAAATTACTGAAATAGTTCTGATTCTGCTATAATTATGGAGTTTTGTAGGTTAATATAATCTTGTGTATCCATTTTGCATAATATGCCACTCTGACAAAAACGATCGGCCTGTTTTGTGAAGCACAACCACGTCCAGGTATAATCACTCCTTGTACTAGGTCTGTTCTGTTTTCCACACAAACAAGAGGACCACCATAATCCCGCTGAGGAAATATAGAGAAAATATGGTTATCAGTCACGATATAAAATCCAGTTTCTTAACCATATACAGGAATATGCAATATAGTAAAAACAGTGTGCAAAGGACAGCTACCCTAGCAACCCTTCACTTGTCCAACTGATCTAAATAAATGAAAGGTAAACATTAAGAGGGTTATTCACAAAGCTGCCGAAGGATCCAGCCGTAGCTTCGGCTGATCCTTCGGCTACCTTCTTTTACGGGAGCCCTTCGGTTCAGTAGAACCGAAGGGCTGCTGTACGGGCTATTCACTATAGCCGGTACAGCTCCCGAAGTTGGCCGAGCGGCTCAGTCGAGCCGAAAGCATATGCTTCAGCTCGACGGAGCCGGGGTGAAAGCCAAAGCTGGCCGAATGGCCAGCCGACAGCCTGCTACTGACAGCTGGGTGGAGCCAGCCATCATCTCACGGCTGGCTCCGGCCTCTTGCAGAGACAGATCAGTGCCCCCTGGTTACCAGGTAATGACGCTGATCTGTCATTACACTGAAAACTCGGCAGAGCCGCCGTGATATCACCACCGAGTTCTCAGTGTGTAATGACAGTTCAGAGTACCCTGGTTACCTAGTGAACAGGGGACGCGGAACTGTAATGAGAGCCTAGTAACCAGGGGATGCTGATCTGTCATTACAATGAGAGTGGAGGCTTTGATATCACCGCCGGCGCCGCTAAGCTCTCATTGTAATGGCAGCTGGTCCCGGCCAATTGAAAACAGTTGGGCGGAGCTAGCTGTCACTGCTAGCTCCACCCAATCATTTCTATTTTTTAAACGGTTTTTCTATTCTGCTCGGTACCACAGAGGTACTGAGCAGAATACCCAAGCCGAATGCCGCTCGTCAGCATTCGGCTATTCACTCACTGCTGTTCGGCATCTACGAGAATAGGCCGAACAGCAGCACATAGCCTGCCGGAGGTTCGGCTCAACCAATCCAGATGTTGGATCGGCTGAGTCGAACTCCTTCTGCACTTCGGGTCGGCTGAACATGCTGAGCATGTTCGGCCGACCCAAAGCCAGCCGCAGCAAGACGATGTACGGCTGATTTCAGTCGGGGTACGGCTGAAGTCAGCCGTACAAGCTTGAAGTGAATAGCCGAACAGCGTTCGGCTCACTTCACTTCGGGTCAGTTATTCACACGGCTGCCTTTGGCAGCTTTGTGAATAACCCTCTAAATCTTTGGTGTTCTTTACTGCATGTTTCTTATCATCATTGCTCTGCCAGACAATATACTTGATGTGTAATTTTACACACATGAAGTAGAGCTTACCTCTTTGAGTTGGCCATTGGTCTGTCTAACTTGTAGACATGATAGGCAACACAATAGCTAACTCAAGAAAGTTGCACATCTGGCTGAAAATACTGCTGCTAATTGTAAGTGGAATTGCACTGTCAGTCTGCAACATGAAGTGCTGTTACTGGCAGAATCTTCAGGTAATAAACTTTATTATACTAAAGTAATTTTGCTAAACATCCTTGTAATAGTACATTTGTCATGCAGTGGGCACTAAGGGGTCTATTCACAAAGCTGCCGAGGGCAGCCGAGTGAATGATGGGAGCTGTATGGGCTATTGTGAATAGCCCGTGCAGCACCCCCTTGGTTCTACTGAACCAAAGGGGTCCTGGGTCCGAAGCTAGCCGAAGGATCGGCCGAAGCTACGGCCAGATCCTTCGGCAGCTTTGTGAATAGACCCCTAAATCTTTGATTGCAGCAATTTTATATATGACAGAATAATCAGTAGATTCCAAATGCACAAGTGTACTTTTCCTTCCATAAAACCATTCATAGTAGGGTTTATTTACTAAAGGCAAATAAACTGTATACTTTGCAAGGAAATATTCACTTAACTTAGTGAATGTGGTGAAAAGAGTACCAATTACAAGCAAGGAAAACAAACAGTATTCTTGCTTAAAGATGATTGGATGATGGAACTCAGCAAAGCACCGCCTTATTCACTAAGCTAAAGAAAATTCCATTACAAAGTGCAAATTCACTTGCAAAGTTAACAGCCTATTTGCCTTAAGTAAATCAATTCTACTGAGTCATTTCAAACTATCCAGGTGCTTAAAAATGTCTATTTTTTTGGGCACCCATAGACATGAGATACCAGTGCCACACAGACTCAGCAGACAGATCTTAGGCTGGAATTATGTTTTTCCCACCTTGATAAGCCAGTGCAGGAGGTCTCTGGCATTCCTCTTCCTATAGCATAAACATGCCATGAGAATATTTAAAGCTCAATGTTACAATGCCTGTATGTCCAAATGACCCATTAACTCTAAGAGGGTTATTCACCAAAGAGCCAAATGACCTAGCCGTAGCTTTGGCTGATCCTTCGGCTGCCTCTGCCCTTCTGTTCAGTTGAACTGAAGATCTGCTGTACGGTCTTTTCACAATAGCCCGTACAGCAACCAAAGGCAGCCGAGTGGCTCAGCCGAGCTGAAGGCATATGCTTCGACTCGACTGAGCTGAAGTGACAGCCGAAGCGTGGAGAAAGGTTGGTCGAAGCCGACAGTTCTCCACGCAAATGACAGCTGGGCGGAGCCAGCTGTGATCCCACGGCTCACTCCACCCAGTTGTAATGACAGATCAGCATCCCCAAATGACCTGGGGACGCTGATTTGTCATTAAACAATAACAACTAGGCGGAAATAAAGCTGTTTGTTTCAAATGGTTTGTGAAAAGGTATTAGGACATCACAGCCGGGTCCGCCCAGTTGTTATTTATTGGCTGGGACCTGCTAGAAGACTCTGGCAGGTGCCAGCCAATAGAAAACAGTTGGGTGAAGCTATTTACAGTTTAACTGTTTTGCTATTCTGCTTGCTCCCTACCAAGCAGAATAGCTGAGATGAAGGCAGCTGATGTATGGCTGAAATCAGCCGCACAAGGCTGAAGTGAATAGCCGAACAGCGTTCGGCTCACTTTACTTCGGCTCGGTTATTCACTCAGCTGCCTTCAGCAGCTAAGTGAATAACCCCCTAAGACTAGCCTAAGATCTAGTTTTGGAAATTTTAATAAGGACTAGGCATGGATTTCAGGTGGGAATGTTCTGCTGTGAGACAGTTAACAAGCCATCTGTTCTTTGTGTATGGAAATGCTACATTTATTTCCATTTTATAAAACAAAAACATCTGCCTGTGGCAAATAGCTGTTTTCTTTTGCATCTAAAATGATCAAGTACATTTGATTATTCTGAGATAATAATATTTTTTTTGTCTTACCTCACAGGGTGCAACATTGGCAGTCTCGTTCATGGCACAAATTTCAGATTCATTGACAGTAATCCTTCCCTTGTGATACTCATTGCATTTCTCATTTCCAACAATAATCATTTTACCATGCTGAAGATCGCCATTATAGTCGTTTGCTGGAAAATAACATTTTATTAGTACATTCAGAAAATAAAAATGTGTCTACATTTGCAAGTGCAGCTTACAATTTCATATTTCATTTTCATGTTCAGTATTCATATATAAATGTATAAATATTTCATCCAGACAAGAGAGCAATCATTTATTCCCAGTCAATGTGTTATTTGTATGTAATAAATAGATATTGTTGACTTAATTCACAAGATTCATGTTAGATATCGGTTTAGCAAAAACACTACTATAGTAACATCTATCATAAAATGTAAACAAATATCTTCTAGAATGTGGCCCTGATTTCCGTAATAATTTGTGCGTATGCCAGCACATCAGTCATACACGGACAGGCAATATCATTTCAAGCACTCTTACCTTCCTGCCCCTATGAACTAAATACCACCTTCCCCTATGTTATGGAGATGAGAAAAAAAGGAAGGAGTATTCTGTGGGAGTATTCTGTGGCTTTAGCATACTTACTGTCCTAGGGTGACAGCACTGCTCTTCCATAGATACAGTACAGCAAGTGACCATTGTCATCCTAGAACAGAAGGTGTGTTATTGGCAGGATCACCAGCTAATAATAAAGAAAAAAAATCATCAAAAGAAATGGATGCAGCCGCTCATTAAAGGACTTGTAAGGTGCAACACATTGGCCTTTTGTTTATCGGAGTCTCGTGCTTGCTATGCTTTGCATTATGCCCCCATGTCAAACTGATTTTCTAGCATGCAGCCTTAATACAAATATTAGCGTACCCTATGTTGATATAGCAAGCACTGAAGCTCTAACTGCCATATTCCCATATGCACCATGATTTTGGAGAGTGGCTATTGTAAATTGAAATAGAAATAAAGCATCATACTTCCTGTATGTCCCCATCCATATACAGCGCATTCTGTTTTTTCTGGAATTGTGCATCCATAATTTGGCAGTTTGATCTGTGCTACATACTTATTAAGCACTGCAGATCTATTGAAAAAAAAATGAATTACTCTTTTTATACATGGATCACCAGAGCAATAGAATGAATGAATGAGATGAGTGAAAACAAAAGAAATCAGACAACTAAAAAAAATATTATTTTCTACCCAATTAATTGACACTGCAAAAACAAAGCATAGCATCACAGTGGTATGTGTTAGTGCATACATACATATGTAATTCACACCATATTGGGATGGCCAAAAGGAGATTTTTGAATTCATGTAACCTACTTTTAGTACTTATTCAGCATAGTTTTAATCTTATTTAATAGTAAGGATACATTTTAGGCAAAAAGATGACTGAAATGCATTTTATAGGACATTTCATGACTATTTATTTATTACAGGTATTTATATAGCGCCGGCAATTTACGCAGCACTTTACATAGTTGCACATTCACATCAGTCCCTACTCTCAAGGAGCTTACAATCTAAGGTCCCTATCTCACATCCATACATAGAGGGCCAACTTAGAGAGGAGCCAATTAACCTACCAGCATGTCTTTGAAGTGTGGGAGGAAACCGGAGTACCCGGAGGAAACCCACGCAAGCACAGAGAGTACATGCAAACTCCTTGCAGATAGTGACCCTGGCTGGGATTCGAATCGGGGACCCTGAGTGCTCCAAGGCAGAAGCGCTAACCACTACCCAACTGTGCTGACTAAGCTTCACCAACTGACCCGTCCAGTCAGACTAATAAGGGTATTGTATTTGGGCAGAGGTTAGCAGTTAGTAGAGCTTAGCCATAAAGTTAGGGCCCAGTAATAAAGTGGAACTAAATCAGGGAGGGGACAGTAGAGGCTTTTCTAATTTAAATTAATAAAGGCAACAGCAGGCACCTTGTGTTGTTTGGTCACGGGCAGGACTTTCACTTTTCAATTTACTGTCTTACTTCAAGGTTACGTGTCAAAATCATATTCCATATTAAGGATACATTACAGACCAGGGAAATGCTAGTCCACACTTTTGTTATTCCTTGTTTTCAGATGTGTTTTGAAGCTTCCCATATCTATTTAACAATGTTCTCTTAAAGGTCAAATTCTGGCTCTGGGTTCACCCCATGGGTGCCCCCTCCATAAATGCCTCCCCAATTTATGTTCTTTTAAAGTATACTTTATCTTTTAAAGTATACCTTTTCCTGATGTTGTCTGGTCTGCCATGTGACACCCAGGGTCTGCTTCTTCTGCAGCAGTGGGTTGTTCTTGAAGATGCAGAGAGGGGCGCTGACATAATGACATAATGATGTCAATGTGTATATATATATATATATTTACATATAAGCTACAGTATGTAGCACATACTGTATACGCTATTACAAATAATTTTACTTTGCATTAAATAAACCACAAAATTAAGCTGAAAAAAGGAGCAACCGGTTTTGTGTATAATATTATTAAACCTTTTGCATTAATTCTCAGCTCTAGGTTATAATTTTTTAATTAAAAAAGCTACTACTGATGACCTCCTTCTTACAATGTGTGTGGCTGTTTTCAACAGAGCCTCAGCCAAAGGCACAGAACAAGCATGCAGCATGTAACATCAATGTAAAATCAGAACTCTAGATCTGTATACTAATTCCTGTTCATTGACTAGAATGCATTGAGGCCACATGGTCAGCATGACAGCCAAGCGCCTAGTATTTTTAGGTTAACAATGACAGCCTACTTATATTTTTCATAAGAGGTTTCTTTACTATTATTGATTCTGTTTTTGTTGTTCACTTATTCCTATCAGTATATGTATATGCAGTTTGGTGTCATCTACCTCTATTCAATGTATGTTTTGAATGGAAGTTGATGACAGTAAGTTGGTTTACTAAATGATGATGATTATTGTTGTTGTTATTTGAATGTGTACAAGCCAGTCTGTGCTTCTTCAGTCAACCAGTTACATAGTTACATAGTTACATAGTATTTGGGGTTGAATAAAGACATACGTCCATCAAGTCCAACCCATATAGGTCCACGCATCATCTCATTCTTAGGGATACTGGTATCCCTGGATATTACGGTCCCTAAGGAAATTGTCCAAAAGTTTCTTGAACAAATCTACACTCTTGGCTGAAATCACTGCCACACTTACTGTAAAGAACCCCCTTCCCCCATTGTGCTGGAATTTTTTCTCAACCAACTTTAGGTGGTGGCCTCTAGTCTTTGTGATGGAGTTAATCTTAAACAGTTTGTTGCCAATGTTGCTGTCACCATTGAACATCTTGTACATGAAAATCATATCCCCCTTAATCTCCTTAATTCCAGCGTGAACATGTTTAAGTTCAGTAGCCTTGTTTCATAGCTCTGGTCCTCCATTCGCCTAAGTAGTTTGGTTGCCCTCCGCTGGACTCTCTCCAGTTCAAGGACATCCCTTCTCAGTACCGGCGACCAAAACTGGACCGCGTACTCCAGATGTGGCCAAACCAACGATCTATAATCTACTTACCCCCTCATAAAAAGTTAGCAAGTTAGTCAGGCATGAACGGTCTTTCCTGAACCCATGTTGATTGTCATTAACTATGCCGTTATCCTTAACAAATTTTACCAAATAGTCCTTAATCATACCTTCTAACAGTTTACAAACTACCGATGTTAGACTGACCGGCCTATATATCGTTGTCACGATGCATCCTGCTCCAGCAGTGTCCCCCCTGAACTGGTATCACCAACATCATGCAACTTGGCATACTTATTGGGGTGAACCAGATCAGGGCTGACCTCTCTAGTACTCTTCCCTCTCTCCCGCCTTCTAACAGTAACCCAGCTCCCCACCTCGGGATCCTGCTCCTCCGACCCCCCCTCCTCATCCAGACCAGTGATCCAGTTGTGTGGTTTTTATATCTTATCTTTTGTTTATCTTATCTATTTTTATCTTATCTATGTTTTATTGCATATGAATAGATGTTTGACAGGAACACATATTGAATGGTCTATTTGAAAAAGTCTTTGGTGAATCAGTCCTATAATTGTGTTACTGTAGCTTGTAGAATTTTTTGTTTTTTTTAGAACATAGCATACTCATCAACAGTATAAGCATTTGAAATCTTCGTCCATATTTATACATTGATGTAAAATAACTTATTCTTACAATGCAGGACACATACATACTTGCACATTATCTAACAATCTGCTTTTGTAACACTACCCCTGTGCACAATTGTATACTACTTTAAAACCTTTTTTATTGTTTGAGTAATACATTTTCTATGGCTAAGTCACATCCTCAGCAGCCAATGTAGAAGTATACTAATCATCACCATTAAGGAACATTGTGAGCGAGGCTACATTCATACAGTTAAGAACAGCAGCTCACTGAGATGTATTTTATGAAAAACATATGTTCCCTACACCTAGACATAATATGGCTGCATTTTAATGATCTGTCTCCAAGCTCAAACATTTAAAGAAAATAAATTGACTCTGCAAATAGCCCAGCAATAGTTTATAAGATATGAGTTTATACAAAGTAGTAACTACCACTCACAGATGAGCAATGGGTTTCACATTTAATAACAACAATTTACATTTTTAACCTGACCAGACTAACTTTATTATTATTAATAACTTGAGGCGTCTGGTTAAATAGCTAACATTCTGCTAACTATTGCTTCCAAAGTAGTATAGTTAACTACAGACCATCTATATTATATCTATATTATATTGCATGCTTAATGATGTACTTATTGCCATTGCTGCCCTAAAGCCAAACTCCAGTTGTTGTTCCCCCTATGAACCTCTGTTTAAAAATATTTTAGTATACACAACTTTTTATACATGAGTCCTCTGGCTGATCATGTGATGAGTCAGGGAACCCACATTTCCTTTCAGTAATTGACGAAGAATGATTCACAATGCTGCAGAAAATGGTGCTGATGTTATGACAGATCCATTCTGTGCAGCACTGAACTCTGAGCCAAGGACAATGTGATGATACAAGCATAGGGATGTGTCCATAACATCTTGAGTTCACAGGAAGTGGGTAAATTATGCTTGGTAGTATGGAAGAGGACTAGAGGCAAGTGATGGAATAGGTCATGGAGGCAAATACTGCAGTGTAGAGATGACGAGTAGTGTTTTGTTTTTTTTGTTTACTAGACACATGACGAGCAATAACAACATATATGGAGCTGGATTTTTTAAAAAATAAAATGAGACCTTATCAACAGAAATGGCTGTTACACTAAGCCCACCAGTCCATGTGGAGCCTGCCATAAGTTTGCCATAAACTGGGTGTGGAGCAGGTATCATGGAGGTAAAATATTTAAAGAAGCAGGTTAGATTATGATTTAGCATTGCTGCAGCCCAGCCAAGACAGTGAAAATGATTTGAGTTGGCCATGTGCCATGTATTTGGTAATAACAGATATCTATTTGGACAGTTATGTATTTGGACATAACAGATTTATTGCATATACATATTTAGAGTGTTGCCATTTGCTACTGCTTCCTTTTTCATATTGGCACTCTCTGCTTCCTTTCCCTGACTAACATGCCAAATTGGCCCAATGTGTTCATAACTTATATGAACTTTATTACAAATACATAGATATGAACAAGAAATAAAAGTGATGGGTGGTATAGCTATTCCTAATCCATGGATATATAATATATATCTGCACGCACCCCAAGGTTCCACAAGTTCAGGAATGTTGGAGTAATACTGGGACCAGAGAGATAACAGATTAGAATGTGTAATGTTTTAATGTTTCAATGTTGGGTTAAGTTTGATATTTTTTGTATATTTTGTGGTTTGTTTTGTATTTAGATGTATTTTATGGTGTAAGAGTTTGTTAGAAAATAATTTTTTTTTTTTTTAAATACAATTTGGATAAAAAATAAAAAATAAAAGTAAAGACAGAATGTAAAATTTTTGACCCTATGCATTGTAAATATTCCATTAACTCACCTGGAAAGTTTTAAAAGAACAAGGTTTGATCCCTTTGGTCCATGAACCAGCTGTGAAATACTGAAAATTTGTCTATGATCCTGTGTTCTCCTGTAGATGTTGTGGACTCCCAGCCATGCTTCATAGTCGTTGAGGTCAACATTTCTGTAGAAAAATACATTAAATGTATTTAAATAGTAATGCATCTTTAGCTAATATGAACAACACTTCACCATTACTTTCCTTCAGTATTTATAATGAAGCACATGTAATATAACTGTATGAAATTAAAGAAGGTGGGAGGAATATGGGGGCATCAATTGTAGCCTTCCTTAAAAAATATTACCTGGCTATCCATTATGCTTTTTTAATAGCTTCATTACATTTACTAAGCTGTAGCAAGTACACAGATCCATAGCTCTGATTTCAGATGCTGCATGTTTGCTCAAGTCCAACTCAGAAAGTATTGCAGCCAGTAGCCTGGCAGCTAGCATTTTCAGTACAAGTACAAGTTACAATACCACCCTGTAAATAATGCATTTCCTAAACTGATTAAACAGGTTGTACATGATGCATGTTAAATAGGAACTTACATTTACAAGCATTTTCCACCTTCTTGTATTTGTGCTAGTGCCCAAAGTGTAAAATGGTCATCTATAGACACAATTGCCTAACTAAGTACACACAAACATTAAATGCCCATTCACGCCACATGCCTTGGGGCTGCACTGGCCTTGTTTCCAGAGCAGCCCCAATGCATTACAAGGCAACTTGCCTTGCCATTGATTGACACCTTTCACACCACCATGTTGCCTTACTTTTTCCAACACAGTGGGATGCAATGCAGAGCAACTGCCTCACACCCCGCTGTGCCCATAGAACTGAATGAAATGTTCTTTCTAACATTTCAACAACAACAAAAAAAGTATGCAGTGCAATGTCCCGTTGGGGCATCAGCACTGTGTCCAGCATCGCACACCAGAAGCTGTCCACTTAGTATGTTCACTTTGCAAACTAAATGTTCAGAGTTCTCTTCAATCAACCAATCATGTCCTGCAAAAAATCCCATTTTCTTTATCTTCACACATAATTGGATATTCACAGTAAACAGGTTCACCTTATTTACTAGAATGTACTTTGCTAAGTGAAAAGCTTTTATTATTTTAGTAAATCAACCTCAATGTAGAAGTAATACTGGATTCTCTCCTGCATTTTGTATCCCTGTATGTTTAGTACCAATGCTCAAAGATGCTTTTCTCAGCTCTGATTGCTTCCTTGTTGCTGAATGTAATGCCTGAAAAGTAAACAGTCTTAGGAAACTGTCAATAAGTATTGATACCGGCATCCATCAAAGAGAGCTTTTTCTGCATTCAAAGAATGTTTGGCTGATTTACTTAAAGAAGAAGAATTGGGAGGTAAATGTACTTAGATCCGGCATGGACACTGCAGGTGTCACATGCCGGCTTTATAGAATGAGATCTGATTGCTCACTTCAAGGTCTTCTCTCTGCAGAGAGCGGTAACTGTCAGTCACTGCTGTTTCTCTGTTCCTCCAGCACTCATTGGACAGACAGGAGAAGAGGCAGGCAGAGCTGGCTCTGACTCTAGAGAAGCAGAGCCAGCTGTCAATCAGGCAGTGAGGTAGATCCTGACAATATTGTTGGGATCTTTCCCGGCTGCAGCGTGGCTCTGCGCTTCCAGCAAATAGCGTCAATAGCCCGCTAGATGCTGACTTTGGGTCACAGGAGTATATTAGTAAATGTACTCCTGTGACCCAAAAGAGGACTAAAGCTAAAAAAAGGTTTGGCTTTCGTTATATTTTAAAGGATTTAAACATTTTCACACCATAAACTATGTAAAGATTAATTTTCAACTATCCAGGCATGTGAAAAGAAAATCCCTGTTTACTTATGTCATCTGCACATGATTGGATAATTAACGTGAATATTTACACTTTTTTTTGTATAAACATTCTCAAATCCTTTAGTAACCAGCCTTTGTACCAAGTAAGACTAAATGCAGAAGCATGCAGATAGCCGTAAGCACAATGGTGAGTCCAGGAGTGCAGATACTTAGTGAAAACTATGCAATTGTATTGTTATTATTTAATAAACACTAACCCAGAGAGAAAACACTGACTTGCTGTTAAAACCCACTTCTCATTTACAAGAGATCCTCCACATTTATGTTTGTTCCTGCAAAACAAAATGTATGAGATGAAAATACAGAATGTGAAATACTAAAACATTTGTCTACCAAAGAAGGGAGACTGGGTGCCTGCTCTGGAGTTTATATTTGACATGTAAAAATATGGGAGTGTAGAGGAGGTTATCATTTATGTGACATGTCGTGGATGCTATCCAAGAATGTGAATGTTATGTGAGCACAAAAGCATTTTGTTTCAATTTACCTCTGGCTAACATGAGATTTGTTACTCTTACACCAGTACTAGAATCCAAAAGGGCAGCAATTAAAGGAAAGGGGTTAGCTTTACACAGTTAATCCAAATCACACAGATGTTTAAAACTTCAGAGAGCCGGACTGGATAAATCCCAGACTAATTTACGGCTGATCTTTATTGCAAGGGAAAGACAGCAGGATAATATAAATGGTTGTTTGTTTTTTCTTGTTTCTTTTCCTTTTTTTTTGTTTCCTGTAGGTCTGTTTTTGACAGGGGATCAAACATCTGGTTAAACTAAGCAAATCTGATTCACTTATGCCCTGTTCTAATCTTTAATAGCTCAAAACAAACTATGTATTAGTCAGTGGGCTCATTTGCCAAGATCCTGAAAATGCAGCCGCTGCCTACAGATATAGCCAACATTATTGCAACCACTGTTGTGTATTTGTTTTTTATTCTCAGAGGAGGGCGAAGACTGCAAGAGTAGGAGCATGAGTAAGTGGGAGGCAAGCCTGCTATTTTACATGTCAGAACATGCCACAAGTTGTTATAATAATGTTGGTTTATTCTGTAAGAGCAGTGTGTACTTACTTTGCTAAAAGTCACCAACAATGGATGTGTCGCATGTGAACAATGAGGATGCATACTGTGTGAAATTGTGTATATGTATCGTGATTAAAATATCACCTAGCAACACTCGTGCTTGAACAATTTAAATGCTCTTCATGCTTTATTCAAACAAATTTTGTTTTTAGGAGTTACACTTTTATTTAAAAGACATTTTAAAGGTGGACATTCCATTCAAAAATAACTCGGTTCTGTGTAGCCCATGTAAAGGTGCCCATATACCTTACAACCATCGCAAGACTTTTGTTTTGCGATGGTTGTAAGCTAATTAAAAGCTTGTACGGTCTGCCCATCTTGGACAGGCAGATCGTACTTGCGATCATCGATGACTGCAAACGGGCAGTGTGCGCGTGCGCACACCGGCCCGTTCGGCAGTTGTCGAACAAGCAGGCCACTAACTTGCAGAGAATCGTACGATTCTTGGCGGGTTTTCAAGCCTGCTTGTTCGACGGAAGACGTGCGACCGTACAGTAGAAAAGGTTGCACGCCTTCCATACACTGCATGATTATCGTACGATCGCAGGATTTCCCGCGATTCTCGTACGAGAATCGTGCAGTGGATGGGCCCCTTGAGTGATCACAGTCCTAACAATTCTCAGTTCTCTCTGGCAGTAAGAAGAATTAAGAATGGATCTCTCAGCCCCTCAGTTGCAGAGTTTTGAAAAGTGTCAGCATAGTGAAAGTAATAATTAACCAGCTGTCTTGAGTTACAGTGATTAAAAGCTGCAAAATTCCTAGACTTATATGTTTCCATCATCATGGAAAACCATGCAGCAAGTCTGTGTTTCTGAAGAATTCAAAAACCAGTTATATTTGTTATGAGAACTGGTAGTTCTTTTGTAAAGCACACTCACTTTATAATAGATGATATATCTCAATCAAAAAGAAATCACTGCCCAGATAGTGGAAATGTCTAAAAGCAGACAAGACTTTATTTTGTTAATTTAACTGGCATCATTACTATGGAGAGTGTTATGTGAGTTGACAGCTATTTTTAATGTTTTTTTTAAACTCTAAATACTAACATTTACCTGTATCGCAGACTGACCATCCATCCATCGTTGCCCTGCGCTGGACTTCCATTTACTACCCTTAGCTGTTTAGTTGATGCACATGAACCTGGATCTAAAGTCAGTAAAGAAAACAAACACAGCTTGTTGTTGTCTTTATCTTTTTTTTACAAAATGCCTTATTACATATACATTTTAAAATATTATATATTTCTGAACCACTTGCTGACTGGAGTGATAAACCCCCTTCCTGTCTAGGCCATTTTTCAGTATTCAGCACTGTGGTACTTTGACTGACATTTAATACATTAAATGCATTTTATACCATTTTTTGGGACAGATAGATCTTTCTTCTCGTGGTATTTAATCATCACTGGGGTTTTTTTTTTTTTTTTTTACTATATAATGAAAATGATCATCAATTTAGTGCTATCAGTGATTAATGGCCTTACAATAACGGCGTTCACGGCGATATGTAACATGTGTGGTGTAATCGTTGTTTTCGCACATAGGCACATGCACTCCTGACGCTAGGCAAAAAACTGGAGACTTGTCAGCAGGTGGGGGGTTTGGCCACCGGCAGGGGCCGCCCCTAGGCTGTAATTGGTCTTTAGTTTTGTGCCTAGCGTCCTTCTCCTGCAGGTGGCGATATTACCCTACCATTCAGGATCTACGATCTGTTGCCTGTGTCCTTCAATGAACGGGAGAGAAACTTTTTTTAAACTTATCTTGATAGCTATCACATAGGGGCTAAAAATCCCCCTATGTGATAGCCAATATACAATGACAGGTCCTCTTTATGGAGACATCAGGGGTCTCTAAGACCCCTAATGTCACTTTGGGACCCCAAAGAAGATGATGAAGCAGAGATCTGTTTCACTAGCTTCTTCTCTGGCTATAGCAGCCAGAGAAATGACAGCTTAAGTCAGAAGTGATGTAATACACACCGCTTCCGCCTTTAGAGAGAGAGCGGCTGGACTCCACCCAAGAGCATTAAAAAATCCCATACATGTACGTCCACCCGCCGTCCGCCCCTATCTTTACAATGGGCACACGGCAAGGAGTTAAATCACAACAGGCTTAATCGTTTTTGGGATACAGTTGGGTAAACTATTTCTCACTTGCAGTTCCTATGACAACACAGGAAGAAATCTGTACTTGCAAGGACACAGACAACAATAAAACTGACAGTTCTAACTAGGGATGCACTGAAACTAGTATTGGTATCGGTGCTAATACTGAGTATTTGGAAATGTACTCGTAAAATGCTCCTGATGTCTGTCCCGATACTGGAACTTCCGTTATCAGGAAGAAAGGCAGTGAGTCATTACATGCTGCCCGGCTTCCTGAGTGGCCAGGAAGGCGGCTCCATGCTCCCTCTTCACCAGAAAGCACGGAGCTGGCCTCCCGGCCAATTAGGAAGCTGGGGGCGGGTAACGACTCACCCCCGGCTTCCTGATGGGCTGGGAAGCCTGCTTCATGCTCCCTCATCACTAGGTGATGAAGGAGCATGGAGCCGACTTCCTGGCCAATCAGGAAGCCAGGCGGTGTCTAATGACTTGCCACCCAGCTTCCTGATTGCTCAGGAAGCTGTTCAATTAGGAAGCCTGGAGGTGAGTTATTACACACTCCCTGGCTTCCTAATTGGCCCCATGCTTTCTTGTCATCTGGTAATGTGGTAGCATGAAGCCGGCTTTCCAGCCAACCATGAAGTCTGGCGCTGTGTAATGACTCGCTGCATGGCTTCATGATTGGTAGGGAAGCTGGCCAATCACGAAGCCAGGCGGCGTGTCATTACCCACCCCCGGCTTTCTGGTTGGCCAGAAAGCTGGGTTCATGTTTCCTCATCACCTGGTGATGAGGGAGCATGGAGACGGCTTCCCAGCTAAACGGGAAGCTGGGTGGCGAGTCATTACAAATCGGTACTCGGTACACGATACAGAAAAACTGGTATCAGTGCATCCCTACTTCTAACCCTTCGCTCTACTAAAACGAGTGCTATACCTGCACTCTGTACTCTTGTTGGCGAGATCCCCCTTACTTTCTGTCTCTAGTATAGCCACACTGGTTTTGATAAATCTCCCCAATGTGTACAGAGACAGCAGCAACAATCCTTGACTAGTCTATCCAAAACAAAAACAAAATATCTTGGCTATAGTTGAGCTTTAATAGTACCATATAAAACATGGTTAATCAACAGGTAAAGAGTCTGTCACAATTTTCTGGTAACATGGGTATAATTTATACCATCTATTACTCTAAACTATCCTTCAGCACAGAAAAGGTAATAGGTAATATAGGTATTATATTAAAATATGAGTTATTTAAATTAGAACATAGGTTGCTCGGATCCCTGAAACAAAATTACCCTGTGAAAATGTCAGAATTAAATGAAAAATCTGCCTGTAAGACTCTGACCTACATTGTCCCTACTCTTTTCACTGGCAAGTACAAGAGGTAATATCTCTCAAAAGTGGCCTTTCAAAATATATATTGTAAACAAAAGAATATGAATTCAGACATTTCACACTGTACCTCAAATAGTGGGTTGTCCTAATACCTATTTGGATGCATTTTCTAATGTAGTCATGTCTAGTTAATTAGCACATGAACCTTGAAACCGTATACATTTAAATATGGTAATATTACTCCACCCCCAGCAAAAGGTAAATCCTAGTCAAATGTGCATTATTAACATTATTCTTATGCTTACAAATAAGATAATAAAGACCCAATATATACATGTTTTTCTATTTACACATTGTGCTTCACTGTTGCATGTGAAGATAACAATGGAAACTATAGTAGATAAATAATACTTACTGTCAACATTTGTCATTGTTGGGGTGGTATCGCCTTCACCTAAAATAAATCTTAGAATGTTACATATGTCAACACAATTTTTTTCGGCTACTTAAAACAAGTCATCTTTATGACATAATTATAATATAAACATGTTCATTTTATTATTCGTCATATTATTCTTTCTGGCTTTGAAAAACACATTTTGGCTTTGCAGCACCAGTGTGCTTTGAATCATATTTTATATCACTACAATTAACTCTAACTAATAGATTCCAGCTAGTGTGCATTAAATAAATGAGCCAGATAGAGGCAGACCTCATAGATAACAAAAGGAACCAGCTTTTTCCACAATCATCATGCTCCATCTGTATTTTACTATTCATGCTGTGTCACCTTTCTGTAGAAGAGGAACAAGACTTATAGTAGAAATCTGACCCTGCTCCACTGAGATCCTTCACAACCAAAACCTATTCACTATTGTTAGTGCAGCCTAAACCATGATTGGGACCCTTGACACTTTATTCTTTACTTTTTCTGAGCTATGCAATGTTTTATATATGTGCTCATACAGTATAATCTTTTCCCAGTTGTAAAGTATTGGCACATCATCGCTATTTACAGCAGAATCATTTTTTGAATTATGTGGAAAAAAATGTGATGCTTTCATGGTGTCCTTTCACATAACAACACCCTTTATCTGGAATTAATTTCCTGAGCTTTGCAAACTTTCCCACCTCTAATGCTTTAATTCCTCATTCTGCATTCTGTGTACTTCTACTAAGGGGTCTATTCACGAAGCTGCCGAAGGATCTGGCCATAGCTTTGGCCGATCCTTCGGCTAGCACTATTCTGACATCGATCGCGTCAGAATAAACAAAAAAGGACACATCAGTGCTTCTCTCCTTGGCGGCTGGGAGCGTGAGGCTTCCAGAGCGCCGGGGAGAGTTTTTTTTGTTTTGTTTTGTTTTTTGACAGCAGCAGAGCCGCCGGACAATAGGAAACTATTGGGCGGAGCTAGCTGTCACTGCTAGCTCCGCACAATCGTTTGCTATTTACTTTTTAAACTTTTTTCACTGTTTTTCTGTTTTGCTCGGTACCTCTGAGGGACCGAGCAGAACAGCCGAGCCGAATGCCGCTCGGCGGCATTCGGCTATTCACTCACTGCTGTTCGGGATCTTTAAGAATAGCCCGAACAGCAGTGAGAAGCCTGCCGGAGGTTCGGCTCAGCCGATCCAGATGTTGGATCGGCTGAGTCGAACTCCTTCTGCACTTCGGGTTGGCCGAACATGCTGAGCGTGTTCGGCCGACCCGAAGCCACATGAAGCAAGCCGATGTACGGCTGATTTCAGCCGATGTACGGCTGAAATTAGCCGTACCAGCCTGAAGTAAATAGCCGAACAGTGTTCGGCTCACTTCACTTCAGATCTGTCATTCACTCGGCTGCCCTCGGCAGCTTCGTGAATAGACCCCTAAGTGTTGAGAAAGTCTTTTAACTTGAGTTTGGAGCGTATTTTGCCAAGTGACACTATTTTCTACAAGTCAACTAACAGAGAGACAGTTCCACCTTACTTTGTATTGTATTGTCCCATTTATTTAGCATGCTCAGCTTAAGTAGTATGTCTATAGAAATGCTTTGTTCTAACTAATTACATTTAGTTCTGTTTCTCTCTTGAATCTATATTGTTTTAATGGCTAAAGCCACTCATATTGATATTTCATTACTTGTTGGGTGGCAGAGGTACTGAGGTATCTGCTGGCTGCTAATGCCTCTCTGGGATTTCACCTTGCTGGAATATTTAATTATTTAGTCATTGCCAATGGTTTGATGAGAATAAAAGAATGAATACATGCTTACATCTAGAGATCTGACAATAATCCCAGGGCATTAAGGGATTGTCTGTATAGCACCATGGTCCATGGGCATCATTGTCTGGATTACGACAGTAATTTTTTTCAAGCATGGATATGTCTGGCTCCTTGAATGTATGCCTATAATAGAAGGACACAAATCAATATGTTTTCATGTGCAGTTTAATATCTAGAAAGGATTGTCACCAGCACACCAAAAGTTTTGAAGCAAAAAGTCCTTTATTGACAAATCGCCATCCAATACAAGCGCTTTCGGGGTCTCAGCAGTACCCCTTCATCAGGCTCAGAATGACACAGTAAAGCAAACCAGCACCTTTAAATAGACATACCAGTGCATATTAAAAACAGACCACTCCCACCAGTTGCAGCTGGAAAACCGTATATTCCCGCCATTCTGCACTCAAATGAGGCTCACCTGTAATCCACTAATATACACAGCGAGTTGTAATGATATGGCCGTTAGCTGGAAGTAACATCAGCTGGTTGCCTAGGGTACAGGAAGCTGGCATGCACAGTGGACAAGTTTGGTTAACGGGTTAAGTTGAGGTTAGCGATTTATTTAAGGTTTCAGTTAAGGCTTATGTTGAGATTTTGTGACTATTACTTTTTGGGTGTGATAAATAAATTTTTAGGGGGTTATTCACAAAGCTGCCGAAGGCAGCCAAGTGAATAACCCAGCCGAAGTGAAGTGAGCCGGCTAAAATCAGCTGTACATCGGCTGCCTTTGGTCAGCCAAACGTGCTCTTCATGTTCGGCTGAGGCGGATCAGTTCATTCGCTGCTGTTTTCCCCCGGTAGTAAGTGAAAAGCCGAATGCCGCCGAGCGGTATTCGGCTCAGCTATTCTGCTCCATGCCTCTGAGGTAGCGATCAGAGTAGAAAAAAATGTAAACAAATGAAAACATTTTTTTAAAAGTTATTTAAATAAATGCAAAAAAATTAATATTTTTAAAAAATAATAAAAAAATGTAAAGAAAAACAGATACTTACCTTGTCCCTCGAGCCGTGCGGTGTAATCCGGCCGGCGCCGGCATCTGTTTTCCGTGTTCCGTCCCTTGCGAGCGTACACGTCGCACGGGGGCGGAACCGGAAACGAAAAAATAAAATAACGAAAAAAATTCGAAAAATTAACGAAAATCAAAAGAATCATACCGCCAGGGAGGTTAAGGTCACCGCTAGCTCCGCGCAACTGTTTACTTTTGTCCGGGACCTGTCAGAATCTTCCAGCAACTGGGCAGTGCCGACTGTGACGTCACGGCCGGCTCCGCCCAATTGTTGTTTAACCTCCCTGGCGGTATAATTCTTTTGATTTGCGTTAATTTTTCGGTGCAATTTTTTTGCAGATTTTTTTCGTTATTTTATTTTTTCCGGGTTTTTTTCAAATTTCCCGCCAGTTCCACCACCGTGTGACACGTACGCTCGCAAGGGACGGAACCCGGAAGACAGATGCCGGCCGGATTACACCACACGGCTCGAGGGACAAGGTAAGTAAATACTGTGGGATATTCCCGAGTGTAGCTCAGGGTATGGAGAAGTAACCCCGAGCTACACTCGGGAATACCGCCAAGGAGGTTAATGACAGATCAGCACCCCCAGGTCATTTGAGGATGATGATCTGTCATTACAACTGGGCAGAGCGAGGCGAGAGATAATGGCTGGCTTCGCCCAGCTGTCATTTGTGTAGAGAACGTTCGTCTGCCTTTGGCTGCTGTACAGGCTATTGTACGGGCTGTTGTGAATAGCCATACAGCAGCCCTTCGGTTCGACTGACTCCGGTGGCCGAAGTGAGCCGAAGGATCAGCCAAAGCTACTCTTGTTCCTCTTAGTATGGGTACAAGTATAACACAGGATTAAAGTTGTATCCTAAACAATACTGTGCAAAAAAAGACATTTAAATACAAATTAATTCTACAAATTAATCTCACATAAAATTATACTGAAGCCGCAAGAGAATATATATCTTATTAAAGCCATTTAATTTACCTTGTCTGTAAAAATATTTCAGTGGAAATGCCCCAAGAAAACATTTACAACCTCTATAAATAACAACACATTGCATGCTATTATAACTAAATAGATGGGTGGCCATATCAAATTAGGTGGTACTGCAGGTGAATTGTAAGATTGTAACTTTCAGAAAACCTCTATATACAAAGATCAAATTGATTCACTTATTTTTTTTCTGGAAATTAATATAACGAATATTGCGTTAATAATACTATCTCTGCACATACCTTCGTACATCACCCATGTTCTTCTCCCACATTGTACACTGCAGCCTGTATCGTGTTCTAGATATTGTGCCCCTATAGGTGATGCCATTGCCATAGTAACACTCTGAAAATGCCAAATATATTTATATTACGGAAAGGAAAATCAGAAGAAAGCAGGCTAACAAAACAAGCCATCCAAGGGCAAACAACAGAGAATGTGAGCAGCAGCTGCTCCAGTGGTTTTTTGCTTTACATAATAGAGGAGAAGAAAAGCTTTACAACTTAAACCAAACACATCTTTGATTAAGAAAAAAAAAGACCAAAAAGCTGAATAAATATACAAGTGGATTATAACATTATTTTTTTCATTAAAAGAATCCCAGCTGCAATACATGTATATATTTTTTCAGCATTGATCTTTTTGCTTTTATTCTTTAGCATGTGAGTAGTGTGAAAAGTTCTTTAAGTGAATTTCTTTAGCAGTTACAGCAATGTATATTACAAAATATAGGAACACACAGTTGTTTTACTATCTATCTATCTATCTATCTATCTATCTATCTATCTATCTATCTATCTATCTATCTATCTATCTACCTATGTCATTGTCATCATGTCAATTTCTAACAATCAATATTAAAGTTGAACTTCAGGCAAACAGGTAAATACACGGATTAAATGTGGGAGCTGTTTTGTCGTGGCCACCTGGATTGTTTACAGTGCTATCTGCAACTTTGGAGAGGGTGAGCCCTAAAATGGATACCACCAGATCTTCACCAGAGCACCATACAAGGAATGGTGGAATTTCCTGGTGGGTGTACCAGGATGTGGCCCTCCAACCCTGAATGGGCAATTTCAAAAATGGATACAGACCAAAGGTCAAGGTAGACAATAAAGAAGTATAGTAAAAAAAAAACAAAGTCAGTAACCATAGAAACAGGACTGCAGGAGCACAGGAACTTGCACAGTGTGGAGCCTTGGGCTGGAAAATGAACCTATTACTCAGGCAAAAAGTGTTGACCTGAGGACAGCTAAACAGTGTGCTGATTGGCAAGCTGGATGGGAAGGAGCATGTGTCTGCTATATCAATCATCAGGTGGGATCTGGAAACACCCTTATCTCCCAGATCTGTGCATCAACAAGGTAGAAGATACCACATAGTGGTAGAACTACACATAGCATATCAGCTTTGCAGCCCAGGACACATGCCTAACATGGGGAGTACCTACAAAAAGAGGGTGTGGATCCCCTTGCAAGACATTTTTTCCCAATGTTGAGGGACAAGGGCCTCTTCCCCACATCCTCTTCCTCACAAAGGATGTGGGGGATTGTGCAGGGGGATTTAAGGAATCTGGAAGCCCCTTTTTTAATAAGGTCACCTAGAGATGTATACCCCCTCCCAAGCAAATAAGTACAGGTTGTGGGCACACATCTAACTTGTAAAGAATTTGCAGCACCCTGGAGACAGTCAAAAGGTTTGTGAATCATAGGTAGAGGGTATCTTTTTTTTTAGGTGTGATTTTATTTAAGCACCTACAATTTATGCAGAGGCACAATGAGCCATATGTTGTGTAATCCAGTTCACCAGTGCAACAATCTCAGTGACTTTCACCACAATCACCTTTAACCCCTTCATGACTGAGGCCTTTTTTTCATTTAGAATGTCGCTCACCTTATCTTCAGACTTTTATCTGCAATAAAACCGCAAGAAAATTCATAACCGTTCATCCTTGCTTCAGCACTACTGGCCGTACTGTGTACTCTCCAGCTCCACCCTACATACGTTGCGTTGAATACGCAACTTTGTCAGACAACTCTTACAAAGTTGCGTATTCGATGCAACGTACGCAGGGTAGGGCTGGAGAGTACACAATACAGCCGGTAGTGCTGAGGCAAGGACGAATAGTTATGAATTTTCTTGCGGTTTTATTGACTTATGCATGTGGTTTTCAAGTTTTTTTGTGAGTAATATTTTAGAGTAGTTTTAATATTTATCAGCGGTATACACTATGGAGTATCTTTTCTGTCTAAGGAAAGGAAGTCTACTAAGAAGTTTGATGGGATTAACTATTGGTATACTGGATGCACTGACGCGGTGGAAGTAATCAAGGAAGGAGGATCACTTGTATCTTGTCTGCTCAGTTGTGGGGTCTTTCCCTGCCCATCATTCAAAGGGTATAGGCGCAGTGAGACCTTAATGTTGAGGTCTGAAGATAAGGTGAGCAGTATTTTTAAAGGTGATTGTGGTGAAAGTCACTGAGATTGTTTGTGAACTGAACTGGTGAACTGAACTGCACAACAGATGGACACATAATTGATTCAAAGGAGACATTCGGGTCTATTTACTAAGCTGCCGAGGGCAGCCAAGTGAACAACCGACCCCAAGTGAAGTGAGCCGAACACTGTTCAGCTATTCACTTCAGGCTTGTATGGCTAATTTCAGCCGTATATCGGCTGAAATCAGCCGTACATCGGCTTGCTTCGCATGGCTTCGGGACACTCACTGCTGTTCGGCCTATTCTTATAGATGCCGAACAGCAGTGAGTGAATAGTCGCATGCCGCTGAGCGGCATTTGGCTCGGTTGTTCTGCTCGGTCCCTCAGTGGGGCCGAGCAGAACAGAAAAATAGTTTTAAAAGTTGCAATAACCAATATCTATTTCAATTTGCAATAGCCAATAGTAAACTAGCATTGTACCCGCCCTCTGCTGATGGACCTGATGGAGAACTGCAGCAGAGGGTGGGTACAATGCTAGTTTACTATTGGCTATTGCAAATTGAAATAGCCAATAGGAATCTAGCAATGCATTCCAATGGGCAAAAACTTTTTTGTTTTTTTTTTCTCTTCTGACACGGCTCCGTGTCAGAATAAAGAAAAAAAGAAACAGCAGTGTTTCTCTCCTTGGCGGCCAGGAGCAGGAGACTCCCGGAGCGCCAGGGAGAGTTAGCTGTTTGGAGATCAGTGTCCCTGGTTAGCAGGTAACCAGGGACGCTGATCTCTCTGCAAGTGGCCGGAGCCAGCCGTAAGATCACG